ATCCTGTGCTGGGAGCAGAGCTGCAGCCACAGAGCCAGAGACGCAGCCCAGGGAGAGCAGATCCTGTGCTGGGAGCAGAGCTGCAGCCACAGAGCCAGAGACGCAGCCCAGGGAGAGCAGATCCTGTGCTGGGAGCAGAGCTGCAGCCACAGAGCCAGGTGTGGTGAGCAAGTGGGGCCAGCCAAGGGGGGGACCTTGGGCAAAGGGCCCAGCACAGAAAGACACCCCTATCCAAGGGCCCTTGCAGGCCAAACCGGGAGGGGGACTGTAACCTGACGGGGGGCTGACGCTGGGAAGAAGGATCCCACCACTCAAAGCCCGGAGGTGTGTGGCCACCACCATTGCAAGTGTCCAACCCGCAGCATACCTGCAGCACAACCAGGGCCTGAGAAGGAAATCTGGGATCTACAAGGAACAGACTGCGAGGTGCCCTGATGTCCAGAGACACTGTTTGTGATGTTCCCTGCCACAGAGCAGGGTGATGTGTTTTCCTTTAACCTTTCCCATTTTTCCTTGTTCTTTTCTTTAGATTAATTGTTAATTAAACAACTTGTATTTGCTTTAAATTGTATGGAATAATCAGTGGGTCAGGGAGGTGCCCAATGCAGAGAGGGTACCGTGGAGTGGGGACACCCTAGCCCCTGTCCTAGGTGACCACAGCAGGGTTGGGGGTTGAGCCCCCCAGGAATCCTGGGCCCAGCCTTGTTGGGGTTATGAGGACTCTGCCAGACAGGAGAGTGGAAGGGGAGCCCTCAAGGGCAGGGAGGCCTCTGGGTAAAGGGAGTGGGAGCGAGGACTCAGATCCTTTCGCTAGCCCACTTCACCGGGGTAGTGCAGAAGCCAGGAAAGTTCCCCACAATAGCGGGTCCATTCCCCCGCTTACACCTATCATGCTGGGGTAGGGGGTGGCTGGCTCAGGAGCAAGTTATGATGGTTTACACCAACCAAGAGTCTCTGGATACAGGGTGGAATTCTCAGTTGGTCAGTTATAGTCAATCTGGACACACGCCACTGACGCAATATCTTCTACTGTGACTGTTGTTATTAAATATTTGTATTGTGCCCCAATCAGGAGCAGGGCTGTGTTGTAGTAGGCACACAGGTAGACCTGGTCCCTGCTCACTACAAGTCAACACGCATAATTGAGGTTGATTCAGCATTAGGAACCCAATTAATAAAGCATCCCTAAGCAAACATAAGCTACGGATCAACCCGGGCCAAATACTGGATTCCATACTCAGTCATGACTTATTAATATGAATACAGAAAATATTATAACACCATTATATACATGAATAGTTCATCCTCAGCTGGAACACTGTCTTCAGATATGATCTGGTACTCAAGCATAGCACAAATTGAGTGAGTTCAGAAACGAGGGGTCGAGAATGATTACTGGAATGGAAAAACTCATAAAAAGACACTGAAAAGACTGCAATATAGAGTGAACACAAATGAAAGAGGACATGACAAACAAATGAATAATTTAGAGAAAGTAGATGGGGAGCTTCTTCTATTCACTTTGTGTCATAACAAAAGAACAAAGTGACATTCAATGAAATTGAAAGGCGGCAAATTCAAATACTAAAAGGAAATACTTCTTTATGCGATGCACAACTAAGATTGTGGAACTCACTGCCATGAGATATCACTGATGCTAAGAGTTTAGCAGGATTCACAAAAGGATTAGACATTTACGTGGATAACAAAAAAAACCCAGAGTTATAGTAGTAAATATTTTTAAAAAGAATTTTGGAAGGGATATAAACCCTTAAACCTCAGGACAGAAGCTCAATCTCTAACTATTGGAGGCTTGGAGAAAACTTTCTCTGGGTGCATGTTATCCCATAACGGCCAGTTGCATGTTTCTTCCTCTGAAGTAGCTGGTACTGAACAGTATGCTTGCACTATAGGGATCACTGTCCTGATCTAGTATGAGAATTCCTATGTTCGGTGGAAGTTTCACTTGAATAAGGAGTGATGGGGGAGGAAGAAGGGAGATCTTGTAGTTAAGTTACTGCTCTATTCCAGGTTCTGCTGCACACTTTCTACATTGACAAGTTACCTTAATCTTTCCTCTGTTTCTCTGGGAGTGAAATGGTGATACTTCTAAACCTCACAGGGCTGTTGCAAAGATAAACCTGTTAATATTTGTAAGGTGCCTGGATATGATGGTGACAAATGCCATAAAAAAGCCCATTCACAAACAACAGGAATTCACGGTGTGGGCTCATTAAGGGAACAAGTGATTTGAGTACTATTATTACTACTATTACTGCTTTATACATGTATTGACCTATAGCAATTTACAAATTATAAAATCTAATTCTGAACTCCTGACTCAGGTAAGAACTCATGTGAAGTCAATGGAAATTTTGCCTGCGGAAGAGATTCGGGATTAGGCTTAATCACGCCAGCCACCATTGAAATACAGCCATCTCTGAGGTGGAACATGGCAATCATTTTAACAACATTCAGTTTTTCCAAAACATATGTGGCATGCTCAGAGTAGCAAACAAGATGGGTCTGATTCTGACATCACACTAGTATAAATCAGGAACAACACCAATTATGTTAATTGAGTTACACCAACATAAAGCTGTTGTGAGGTCTGAAACATACTTATAGTTTAAGATCTGGAAGTGGAATCTTGTTAAGACTGGGATTACTCTTACCCTCTAGCTCTCATTACAAAGAGAAGATCTAGTACTTGTTATAATACAGATGCTCCTGTTTCTATTGATGCATATCAATGCTATACCATAAGCTGAAGACTTAGTGTGTGCATTTCATGATTTGCTTTTCTCCTAATTTTTCTTCTTTCATTATCTCCATTCTTTCACTTTTACACTAGCAATTGTCTGGTCCTCCTATCCTGTAAATTTTCTTCCAGACCCACTTCACTTCTTCCACAAAGGAAAAAAAAAGATAATTTCTCTTCTAAGTGTAAAATAATAAGAAGGAAGATAAAGAACAACACCAGCAAAACAGAGATTGTCAGAAACACCTTGAGCAATTTTTTGCATTAATTTTTCTCTAGTTCTTTTCCCCCCATGTTGTTTCCCTCCACTCTTATACATTAAAGTGTGTGAACAACACTACAAATCACATGGGTACTGATTCAGCCTGTGAAAATGCATTGCAACATATGAAGTTTACCTTTTGACCTTCACCCTCTTCCATTCTGCTGTGATACATGTGAAAACACCTTCAGCTCTTGGAACTAAAAGGTATAACGAGACAGTGAGGAACAGAAGATGACTCCTAACCCTTTTTAAGCACATTTAACATTTTGCTATATAGTTTTGTGGCATCTTTGCTTTTGCAATAGCCACATCCCCTTCCTCTGTCACTTTCAAGTGTGAAATGTTCATCCCTGTTACTGTCAGTAGTTATTTATGCAATCTCTTTAGTCACTCAAATCCACACAAATTACCATTCCTAAAATATACTTGTAAATATGTTCCATTCTGAAGTTAGATTGAATATAGTTGCTAATGGCTACACAACACTGAGGATTTACATATACAAAGATAAATAATTGCTGACAAACCATAATATGTAGCTGTGGCATGATTCAGTCAAGAAGTACTGAATCCTAAATAGGCTGGGATTTACAAAAGAGCCTAAGGAATTAGGTGCTCAAATTCCATTGAAATTCAGAGGGAGGCAGGTGTTTAATTCCCTCAGGCACCATTGAAAACCACAGCCATTAAGTATGACATTGATTTATCTGTAATCCCATGGATTATTCTGGGATGCAGGTTCTATTGTAATTTCTGTGTTTCTTGCTCTCCAAACTTTCTGAAACAAGTTCTTTTATATCTGAAATTTCTCCCGTGTGGATACAAAGGCACGATTAATATTGACATTGGAACTTTAACTGAAACATTTTCTTTCTTTTAATTTTGTGCATTTAGGTGTTTTTTTTTTAAGTAAAAACCTATAGCAATCTCTTAACATTTTTTTAAACCTTACCCAGTATCCTTCATTTTTTTTACTAGAAAACTAAAAAGATTATGGTAACTGTGTTTCATGTTTTGAGTTGACACACTTAACTGAACCATTTTCAGTACTATCTCAAACCATTTCAAATCATGGAAGGTTTGTTGCTACCTGGAATCTACCCTCCTTACAGTATTCTAACACTGGGTGTCTCACCTTGACATAACTGGTGACCTGAACCCCTCTGTAAGTAGCTACTGTATTTGCATTCTTATAGAAACTGAGAGGTTGTCACTAACTGTCTCAACTCCCTATTGGACCCATCTTTATGTAAATACTAGGTGAAGTAAGGATTTGATAGGGTTGAGTGACAGGAGACTCTGCTACAGAGGATGATGGTCCAGAACTCTCCCCCACCCTCCATTCAGGTGGTGCTTGCCTCTTGTCCCTTCATCTCTGGCTTGGGGGAAGGTACTGCTTCTGTGCAAGTGTAACACTGACAGACACCAGTCGTCAGCGGGTAGAATCAAACCTAGGACCGCTGGAGCTAGTGCATGAGCCTAACTGGCTGTTAGCTAAAGTTGTAGAGCAGACTCATTTGATCTCTCTCTCTCTAAGTGGTCTCAGTGACACTAGATGGGACAGAACACAACAGAGGTGTGTGGGTTATACAAGGCAATAGGAGGGAAGAGTGATGCATGCTGGCACTGTGGCATGAGAAATTCTAGTCTTTGTCCCTCCTTCCCTGCAGTGCCACCAGCTTGTTTAAGGGTTTAGGAAATCTCACTGCCTCCCACTATTTGGGGAGGTTTATATAAGGAACAGCAATGAGTGGACACTCAGTGCCCATTAAGCTGTCCCACCCTTATGCGCCTTAGCTAGCAGTGTCTGACCTCCTAGAGGCATGGGAGCTCATCCAATTGTTTTTTTATGTCTGGAAGAGCTTCTCTGAACCATACTTTTTTTTCATTTTCCTCTTGGCATCCAAGGGATCTGCTGGAATGCATTCTTTTTTTGTCACAACTTCTGGTGGGATCCTAGTTAGGAATGTCGGGGACCTGGGTCAGCTGTGGACTGTTGTGGTAACTGGGCCCACAATTTTACCCTAATTGTGAGCTCCACTGTAAAAAGTATGTGAAAATTCATAGATGTCAACTTCTTTTGGTGAGCGAGACAAGCTTTTGAGCTTACACAGAGCTCTTCTTCAAGTCTGGGTAACTTACTCAGAGTATCATGGCTAAATACAAGATGGAACAGAATGTTTAGCGTAAGTGATTAACACACATTTCAAGAGACCATTAAATGTGAAGTAACCCATTAACTCCCCTCCAGTTATAGGGAGGAAAGAAGGGGAGGCAAGCATCTGAGGGGGGTTGTTAGTGGGTTACAGATTGTTGTAATAAGCTATAAATCCATTGTCCCTATTCAGTCTATATCATGATTTTTAGTGTCTTGCAAGGATAGGAATTTAAGCTCCCAGACTCATCTTTTGAAAGTGTTGTGTAGGTTTCTTTTGAGGATTAAGACTGATAGGTCAGCTATAGCGATCACTTTGTAAAAAGTGTTCACCCTCAGGTGATAGGATGTTTTAGTCTCTTACCATTTTCCTTTGCGAGTCCATTCGAGCGCAGAGTGATTGTCTGGTTTCACCCACATAGTTGCTATTGGGGCATTTAGTGCACTGGATGGAGAATCTTGCCTACATGCTCGGGGTTCTACTGATCACCATATTTGGGGTCGGGAAGGAATTTTCCTCCAGGGTAGATTGGCAGAGTCCCTGGAGGTTTTTTGCCTTCCTCCGCAGCATGGGGTAGGGGCCGCTAGCTGGAGGATTCTCTGCTACTTGAAGTCTCTAAACCACAGGATTTGGGGACTTCAACAGCAGAGTCAAGGGAAAGGGGTTGGGCCGGCTTTGTGGCCTGCATCATGCAGGAGGTCAGACTAGATGATCATAATGGTCCCTTCTGACCTTAAAGTCTATGAGTCTGTGAGTCTATGAGTACACCACATGTGGTGACAGGCACACATAGGACCCAGGGGTCTTGAAAGATGTGTGGGGGAGGGTGTTGATCACTGAAGCAGTGGAGATATGTCTGCAGGTTTTGCATCTGTTTTTCTGGCAGGGTCTTGTACCACTTTGAGTTGGTTGGTCCTGGTCTGTGGGGAGCTTGCTTCTGATGATGAACTTTGAGAGGTTGGGGGCTGTTTGAAGTTCAGAAGGGAGGGTTCAGCAAAGATTTCTTTCAGGGGTGGGCTACCCATTGAGTATGGGTTGTAATTGTTTGATGATACCCCATATGGATCCCAGCGTGGGGTGGTAGGTGACAACTACGGGCGTGCAGTCAGAGGGGGTTTTATTTCTCTATTGAAGCAGGTTCAATCGGGGTATTTGGGTGGCTCATTCCATGATGTTCTGGTGGAGTGTCCTGGTTTGGTAACAGCAATTTTGAATGTGTTAAGGTGTATATCCTGGATTTTTCCTCAGACTATTTTCTGTGCTATCTGTGTGCCTGGCTGTGTGTTTGGAGTGGTTACTGGATCTATGAAGATAAGTGGTGATCTATGGGTTTCTTGTATCTAGCTGTCTGTAGCCTTATTTAATACTTTTTTCCTTCTTTTCTTTATCTTTAATACAAGATTAAAAAGGATTTTTAATGGTGTGTTTGCCAGGCTGAGGTCTCTATACACCAAGCCCTGAACCTTGTTTAACACTGTTTAATGTTGGACAGTGACTGGGTTATGCTGAAGAGAGCAGGTGGGTGAGGTAATATCTTTTATTGGGGCCCTTCTGTTGGTGAAAGAGACAAGCTTTCCAGCTTACCCAGAGCTCTTCCTCAGGTCTAGGAAAGGTACTTAGCATTTCATATTTAAGTTATGTTCACACCTTTAGTCCATATCCCATCTAAATTAACACAACAGGACCAGGGCCGGATTAAAGTTATGAGGGGCCTAAGGCTAATGGGAGGGAAGGGCCTAAATATGAATTACAGATTGCAAAAAAAATTATTAGGTCAAACATTTATCTACATACATATTTGCATATTATTTATTTATGTAAAATTGGTTTATTCTACTCTCTCAACACTTAATTCTTCAAAAAGATACTTCTGAGTAAGAGGCAGCACGAGGGATGCTACGCTGTCCTTCTCTTAGGCCTCCTTCCTTCTAGATAGTGGAGTGCTCATCTGTATGAGGATGAACACTGCGACATTCTCCATCCTGCTCACCTCTTTCAACCTTGTGCTTCCACACTCAGCTCTCCACATGGCACAGTGGAAAGCCAAGCCCTGCTGCAGGTGTTTCCCCCAAGCTATGGACTCTACACCACATACCGTATCTCATTCTGACTGCAGTCTGGGAGGCAGCGAGATTTTATTATGTAAAAGAAAACCACGCAGGTGTAAAATCCAGTGAAGTAGAGGAAGTTGTAGCAGGAAAATTACATTGGGTGACATTGTATTTTAGGCTGTCTTTCTCTGAATGCTGCCTCCCAGTGTTATACTGCCAAAGGACAATGAATTACTGGTTTCATATTGAACCCAAATATTATTTGTGGGATGACACCCAGCTTGTGTAGTTAATCTCCAGTGATTCACCATGTCAGGCCATTCTGTCACTAAGCTCTTCCACAATTAGAATAATAGAATAGAATCATAGGACTGGAAGGGACCTTGAGAGGTCATCAAGTCTGGTCCCCTGCACTCATGGCAGCACTCAGTATTATCTGTTCTAGAATGTGTGATCAGCAGCTCCAACATGAGTTTTTTTTAAGCATGAGTTCTATGTGCACCAGCCCCCTATGGTTGGCATTTGTTTGTTTTAAGCTTTCTGTAAGAAAAAGGTAACAGCTAGAAGTGACACTGATCTTTAGATGGTGCCCAGTCATAATATTTAGCATTTCTATACTATGTTAGCTCTTCAAAATCACTGTACAAACATTAAACAAACTTAATCTAAAGCTTTTCAGCTTTTGAATGACTAGGAGTTGACAAAACAGAGCTATTCCCTGTTGTGTTCTCTGCCCCTCCTTTCCCCTCCTGGAACAAAGACTTCACTGAAAATCAGCACCTTAAGGGAACCATTAAAGATCTTTCAAAAGAACAGTCCAACCAAGGCTGCTGAAGTGACACCCTTGTTACATCAGGTCTGGTGTTTGTTTAAGACTGGTGTAGAATGAAGGGAGAGCTTCCTGTTTCATTTGCATGTGTAAATTAAGCAGACCAAAATCTATTCTTGTGCAAATATCTGTTCTCCCTGAAGGCAATAAGGCTACCCAGGTGTAACTGTCAGCAGGAATTGCCTGTGTTCTCATTCCCTTCTTGAATCACACACATTCCATCCTTACCCAATATTTTCCACTTGGGAAAGAAGTTAGTTTGAGTTGGGGCAGAAAAATGAGGACTAACTTCAAGTTTATTTAGCTGTAAGTTTTTGAAATGAAACTCAAAAGAAATCAAATGTGAGGCACTTTTATGATGGATTGAACTGCTAGAGAACCAGCAAATGGTCAGAACCTGCCTTTAACCTATTCAGCCAGGCTTTCTAGCATAACCTGCTAAGAAGTGGATTTAAAATCCTTGAGGGAGAGGGGAAGGAGAAACCTACAACATTTTGTGTTGAGCTTGCTCCAGTGCTTTTGCAACCCCTTAAAAGTACAAAGATGCGCTGGCCTGTGGAACTAGACTAAGCATAAGGGAAGAACTTGGTTGCCTGTGCATCCCAGTACAGAAAAATACATCAAAGAAAAAAATTGGATTTCTTTGATTTTTAATACAGTTCAATACAGTATTGAACACAGTGCATCATAAATCTGAAGCCCCTCGATGGAAGGTCCTGTAAAAGTTAAAGTACTGGTATCCAGAATGGGATGTTTTGTTTTGTTTTCCTACAAATGTGTGGGAATTTGTTCCTTATACATGGGAGGGGCAATAGTTCTGGCTGGAGCTGGATAGAGTGTGTGCAGGTTCTGTGCAAGCTTCCCACCCTACCCCTCTGGTACTGCCTCTTCCCCCCACCACCCCCTTGCCCTTCCCCTTCCCCTTCCCCCCACAGGCATTAACCAGTTGTCCAGAAACGGGACCCAGAACACATAGAAGATGATGGTGATGGACACTAAGACCCAGGATGCAGCGTCCTGGAGCAGCTTGCCAGCCTCAGCAGAGGAGAGGGAAAGAGGGAGCTTCTTCCCGCCCTAACAGCTAAGCAGAGCTCTGGAAAAATCGGGCGTTGGGGGAGTGGGGGCATGGGGAGACAATATCTGCTCAAACTACACCCACGGCTGACACGGGTTCCCATAGTAACGGGATTTTTAGTGTCCAGTCACCAGTGTTAAACGGATACCTGGCAGCGTATTCCTGTAGTGCAGGGTGACACAGATGGGAGAGAGTGGAAGTAGCAGGCTGCAGGATGAGCTCCTTCTAAGCAGGGCCGGCTCTAGGTTTTTTGCCGCCCCAAGCAAAAGAATTTTTGGCCGCCCTAAATGAGGATTTAGGGATTCTCAAGCCCACAAATCTCCCAGCTGCAGAGCAATGTGAACTACATTTGCCTGCTAAAAATCCTTACACTGTTCTCCCTGGGGGAGGGGGAAAGATGCACATATGCAAAAAGCTGCATTGCTAAAATGCAACCACAGTGAGAACAGAAATCAAACAGCACCAAACCACTGGGTCACCCGATGGATTAATCAATGAATCATTTCTACTGGAGTGTGGGGGGGCGTGTCAGGGAAGGGGGAAATTTGGGGCCAAAGTCTGTAGGCATCCTGTCCCCTGCGGATTCCACCGGGCACAGCCGGAGCCACCCCATCTGCGCTGCCCCGAAGTCCCAGGAAAGTTTCCCTGCGCCGTCCGCGAGCGGGACTTTCCTGAAATCAGGGCGTGGCAGAGCAACCCGCGGCCCCCAGGGGCTGGCGCGCCAGTACGCTGGGGCCTGCTCCGCGCCCGCCAGGGGGCTGCCCGCTGGTGACCCCTCCCCGGGGCCGCGCTGGGGGCGGACCTGCGCGAACTGACCTGGCCAAGCGGGAGCAGTGCCCCCACCTCTGGGGGCGGCTCAGCACATCCTCCCGCCACGGTGCTGGGCTCCCGCGTCTCCTGGAGCCGGCTGGTGGCTCCGTCTGGGCACTTCAACGCCTCCCCTCTGGCAGGATGCAGGGAGCTGGTCTGGGAGAAGGGCTCCGCGCCACTCTGGTAGGCTGGGAGGGAAGGACGCGGGCTGCCCTGTCGAGTTTGCTGCAGGGTGCTCCCCTCCTCCAGGCTGCCGCCCCCTACAGGGTGGCCTGAGCGGCACACCAAAAAGAAAAAGGAAAAAAAAGGGCGGCCGGAATGCCGCCCCTTGGAATCTGCTGCCCCAAGCACCAGCTTGCTCTGCTGGTGCCTGGAGCTGGCCCTGCTTCCAAGCCACAGGGGTCTGCTTTGCCTTTTCTGCTGGCAGTTGAACTCCAGCAGGGCTGCATGAGCAAGCTCGTTTCCCCGCACTTCAGTTGGCCCTGGCCGCACCCCCTGCCTGACCATTAGAGCCTAAAAATAGGAGGCTTTTAGCCAATGGGTTAATTTGGCCCTGAACAGGACTCTTAACTTCAGCTGGATGCTAGTCTGTGTCTGACTCTGTACAGTTGGCTTGGAGGTTCCAGCCACCATATCTTGTGCAGCTTGGGGCTCCCTAATATTAAAGACCTAATGTTATGTGAATGAGAGGACTGGGACATTCGCTATCTAGGTAAGCCCTTAGCTAGTGGCTTAATGGAAAGAGCAGGAATAGACCGTCCCTCCTTTATGGTTTCTGTTACACCTGTGGCTATCTTGAAAACAGCATTGGAACTCTCTAATCCTGTAGCAGTTGGGATGCTTTTACTCTATTTGAGTTAATGTTTAATAAAGCTATGGCCTCCACCTTTAACCCACATTGCTGTGTCTTGTGTTTCATTGCATCTGTATCCACATCAACAGCTTTTTTATAACACTCGGTGTCTTTGTACTGACCTGATCAGCTGCATAATAAGCCCACATATTTTAGATTACATTCTGGATTTGAAGCCATAGAAAAAAGCTGGGTAGCCAGATATTTGTTTTTGTTCTTGGGAGGAATTGAGGGGAATTAAGCATAAAAAAAAAAGGCTTCTTTCTATTATTCCTGCTCTCAAGCTGAAATCATGTCTTTGAAATATCTCTCAAGTGTTAGTTAAGGTTGCTATGGTACATAACCATTGCAATATGTAACAAGACATATCAAGAAGGTTACAGCTAATGAATCTTAAGTATTAAAAAATATAAAATCATCATCCAGGCACTGTACATAAAGATCCTACTTTCTCTTAAAGTGCAGATATGTGAAGAATCACAATAATCATATAGGTTTCAGAGCAGTAGCCCTGATAGTCTGTCTCAGCAAAAACAACAAGGAGTCCTTGTGGCACCTTAGAGATTAACAAATTTTGGGGGGTATAAGTTTTTGTGGGCTAAAACCCACTTCATCAGATGCATGGAGTGGAAAATACAGAGGCAGGTATAAATACATAGCACATGAAAAGATGGGAGTTGCCTTACCAAGTGGGATTGACAGAGCCAGAAGGGTATCCAGAAGTCACCTACTACAGGACAGGCCCAACAAAGAAATGTTCAATAGTAATAGAATAGAATAGTAACATTCAAAAACCAGTAGGAGAACACTTCAATCTCCCTGGACACTCAATAACAGACTTAAAAGTGGCAATTCTTAAAAAAAAAAAGGTCAAAAACAGAATTCAACAAGAAACTGCAGAACTGGAATTAATTTGCAAACTTGACACCATCAAATTAGGCCTGAATAAAAATTGGGAGTGATCACTACAAAAAATAATTTCCCCTCTGTTGATACTCACACCTTCTTGTCAACTGTTGGGAATGGGCCACATCCACCATGATTGCATTGGCCTCATTAGCACTACAAAAAGTAATTTTCCTTCTGTTTATATTCACCCCTTCTTGTCAACTGTTGGGAATGGGCCTCATCCATCCTAATTGAATTGACTTCGTTAGCACTGAACCTCCACTTGATAAGGCAATGCCCATCTTTTCATGTGCTGTATATTTATACCTCCTTACTGTATTTTTCATTCCATGCATCTGAAGTGGATTATAACCCACGAAAGCTTATGCCTGATTAATCTGTTAGTCTCTAAGCTCTCCTAGTGGTTTTTAAATGTTACATTTCTTGATGTCTGAATTGTGTCCATTTATTCTTTTGCTTAGAGACTGTCTGGTTTGGCCAATGTACATGGCAGAGGGGCATTGCTGGCACATGATGGCATATATCACATTGGTAGATGTGCAGGTGAACGAGCCCCTGATGGTGTGGCTGATGTGGTTAGGTCCTATGAATGTGGACAGAGTTGGCAACGGGGTCTGTTGCAGGGATTGATATGCGGATAGAGATGGCAACGGGGTCTGTTGCAAGGATTGATTCCTGGGTTAGTGTTTCTGTTGTTTGGTGTGTAGTTGCTGGTGAGTATTTGCTTCAAGTTGGGAGGCTGTCTGTAAGTGAGGACTGGCCTGTCTCCCAAGGTCCGTGAGAGGAGGGATCGTCCTTCAGGATAGGTTGTAGATCCTTGATGATGCGCTGGAGAGGTTTTAGTTGTGGGCTGTAGGTGATGGCTAGTGGCATTCTGTTACTTTTTTTGTTGGGCCTATCCTGTAGTAGGTGACTTGTGGGTACCATTCTGGCTCTGTCAGTCTGTTTCTTCACTTCCCCAAGTGGGTACTGTAGTTTTAAGAACGCTTGATAGAGATCCTGTAGGTGTTTGTCTCTGTCTGAGGGATTGGAGCAAATGCGGTTGTATCTTAGGGCTTGGCTGTAGACAATAGATCATGTGATGTGGTCTGGATGATAGCTGGAGGCATGTAAGTAAGTATAGCGGTCAATCGGTTTCCGATATAGGGAAGTGGGTTATAGCCCATGAAAGCTTATGCCCAAATAAATTTGTTAGTCTCTAAGGTGCCACATGGACTCCTCGTTATTTTTGCTGATAAAGACTAACATGGCTACCCCTCTGAAACTTGAAATAAATGAGTTCTACATGAAGAGGCTTACAAGATCAGGCTCCTATAATTATCTTTTACCTACTATGTTTAGGATGGAAGTGTCCCAATGGAAAATCACCAGGCAGTCTTCTCAGGAGCGTTGTGTCAAAATAATAATGCCCATATGGCCATGGTTTGAAGAGGAGATACCACAGTGCAGAGCCTGAGATGTCTCCCTTCAAATCTGAGGGGAATCATCTATGATTACTCCTTTACAATTAATCTTCAGGGGCTTGGTTCAAATCTCATATGCACTTGTGTAACTCCATTAACTTCAATAGAGTTACTCCTGATTTACATTAATGTGAGAAGAGAATCAGGCCCAATCACTTGTATTCTTTGTGACAATGCACACCCAGGGCAACTTTGTTTCAAAATGTTCCCCATTATTTTCCCTGTGGAGGGTATGTGATATATGCCCAGAGGACCATAAGTGACCCTTCCCTGGATTTAGGTCATAGATCCTAAAGCAAGGAAAGGATTAACAGATATTGTTCAAGTCTGATATATTTTTGATCTTCATACATATTATAAAAAATAAACAGTTATTTCTGTGATCTAAAAATGTCAGCCTAATATAACTGATGAAGATAGTCATGATTTCCCTGCTGTTTCTTAAGAACTTGAATTAAGTCAGATGCTTCATCTTATGACACCATCTTAAGGAAAAACACTTAAACATAATTACATTTTATAAACATATCCCATTCAGCCTTTGTAGTTTCATTTCAATGGAACTACTTGTAAAGCAATATAGTACTTCTTGTGGGGCTAAGTTCTATTCAGCCCACACAAGGAGAAAATAACTGGCCCATCATTTAGCAGAGTTTGTTATTTATACTTGGTAATGGGAATTCATTTCCCACACATACACTGTGTTCTATAAAAATAAGAAAATAAATACATTATTGACCGTGTTACAGAGCTTTGCAAAATATAAAATATATTTGAAGTAAACTGCCCTATTTATATGCATAGTTAGTGAAGATTATGTATTGAATATGGTTTTGCACTCTGTTTATAGTGGGATAAATGCACACTAACAGTGAACTAAAAATATATATATGCATTTTAAAAAGAGTTTCCAGGACCATTCTCTTCCTCCACTAAATTTGGTCAGAAAAAGGTATTCTGATCAGTATTTTTTTATCCATATGTCAGCTATGGAACAAGGGCTTGAAGCACCCACAGTGAAACCCGTTCATCAGTAAAATTCCTTAATCTGTGCAGTATGCCCAGATATGGAAACACCTTCATTCATTGTTACAACAACTACAACTCAGTCCACTTCAAACACTGGAACTGCAAACTTCAGAATGCTTTGGAAGAATGTTTGTAGGTTAGGATTTTCAAATGTGCCCGAAGGAGCTAGGGATCCAAATCCACTTGATGCTAACTCCCTTTAGGCCTGGTCTACACTATGACTTTAATTCGGATTTAGCAGCGTTAAATCGAATTAACCCTGCACCCGTCCACACAACGAAGCCATTTATTTCGAAATAAAGGGCTCTTAAAATCAATTTCTGTACTCCACCCCGACGAGCGGAGTAGCACCAAAATCGATATTTTCATTTCGAATTAGGGTTAGTGTGGCCGCAATTCGATGGTATTGGCCTCCGGGAGCTATCCCACAGTGCACCATTGTGACCGCTCTGGACAGCAATCTGAACTCGGATGCACTGGCCAGGTAGACAGGAAAAGCCCCGCGAACATTTGAATTTTATTTCCTGTTTGCCCAGCGTGGAAAGCACAGGTGACCACAGAGAGCTCATCAGCACAGGTAACCATGCAGGCCGATAATCGAAAAAGAGCACCAGCATGGACCGTACGGGAGGTACTGGATCTGATCGCTATATGGGGAGAGGATTCAGTGCTAGCAGAACTTCGTTCAAAAAGACGAAATGCCAAAACTTCTGAAAAAATCTCCAAGGGCATGATGGAGAGAGGCCACAATAGGGACTCAGATCAGTGCTGCGTGAAAGTCAAGGAGCTCAGACAAGCCTATCAAAAAACAAAGGAGGCAAACGGTCGCTCCAGGTCAGAGCCGCGGACATGCCACTTCTATGCCGAGCTGCATGCAGTTCTAGGGGGGGCCGCCACCACTACCCCACCTCTGACTGTGGATTCCGAGGCGGGGATAATCTCATCAGCTACACCTGAGGATTCTGCGGACGGGGAAGAGGAGGAGGAGGAGGACGAGCTTGCAGAGAGCACCCAGCACTC